TGGCTATGATAGGTTGAGATCTCTATGCATTTAACCCAGCCAGGCAGAACCAGCGGTCTTTGAGATTGTCTATTTAAATTTTCTTCTTTTAACTCATCATTAAATTTGAAATTTGTTAGTACCTGATATTAACACTTATATAAATTTTAAAGTGCAAGCTGTTGAGTTGAAGCAATGTGTATGACTAAAAAGAGCATTAACTGATTTTATTAAATTTAAAAATATAAAAATTTGAAATGTTTAATTTCAATTATTTTATAATTAATAAAGTTGTTGGCTTTCATAATTATCATGTTTATTTTTATTACATCAGTATTTAAGTTATTATTTACTATCATTTACAAATAAACAAAACCCATGGTGGTGTAGTGTCTGGCACTGTTGTTGAAGTTGGCTTATCACAGGCAGTGTCTGTCATGCTTTGATTTACGTGCCTTTACATGCAGTGTGAATTTGTTGTCGGTGATATCTATAAACAATTCTAAAGAAGAATTTCTAAAGAATATAATCAAAAATTACAGATCCAATATCGAGTGACCCCCTCCTCTCGCCAGCCCATTCGGAAATTTTGATGACGTCACGAGACACCATCAATCAAAACAACAACAAATTATTTATCAACAACGACAACACTAACGGCAAACAATTTTGTTGCAACAACAACAACAAAAGCAGTAAAAACAGAAACAACAGCAGTTGCAACATCATGAGTTTATCCAACAACTACGTTGAAAGTGATGATAACCTGAAAATCAGCTTCAACCCCAAAAACAACAATAATAAACTAAAGATCAACAACAACATTTTGTGTAACAGCAAACATAATCACATAGGTTGCGAATCAAGCTGTGGAAACAATGCGTCATCAACAACGCCGCAAACTACGTCATCATCAACAACAACAGCAACAAACGAAACTACGAATCGAACTGACAACTCAGCAAAAATAAACAAAAACAAAATTGACATCTCTTACAACAATGCCTATAACGTTAGCAACAATCACATAACAGCAAACAACAAAAACAGCAACAACAACAAAAACAACAAAGAGCAACAAATAAACAAAGCCAGGAAGTCAATTTCCGACCTGTTGATATGTTGACATTTTTTATTTGACTACAAATGTATTATTATTTATTGAGTATAAAATCGTTTGTTTTTTGTTTATCACTAAATATGTATCTCAAAAACATGCATAGCTATTCGAAACTTTTTCGTTATTGCCTATAAGAAAGTACAAAATAATCCAAACGCTATCAATATTGTTACTTCTTACATGGTATCATCCTATCTCCTTATATACAATTCTGCATGTATCTTAATTAAATTTAATTATTTAATAAATTTGTATATTTCAATAAAATGTTGAAAAATTTTCGTAAAATAACCAAATTAATAAAAAATAGGCATAAATTTATTGGTGGCAAAAATGTAGGTAAACAAAAAATTATGAAACACTTGAACTGTGCAGTATCATATCATCTCTTCAGCGTCAACAACAACTTTGATTAATTTAATATGTCTGTATGGGAAGCTTTTGAATGTAGATTATTAACTCTCATGGAACAATCACAATTACAAAAAATATTATTATTATTATTATTTGTATTGTTATGTTTCTTTATTTTTTATAAGTTCTTGATTTATTTTCTGATAAATTTGCCATTTTTATTATCACTCAACATAAATTTTTAACTTAGGCCACAGGTTATAATGTAATGCCATTTAATGACATCAAATGACAGATTAAAAATTCTCCACCACGATTCATCAAACAACACTGAACTACGTGACAATCTGACTAAACGAGGATTCGAACCAGGTCTCGACGCCACACCAACAAAGAAAGCAGCCCGCCATGGAGTACAAAAAACGACAGAGACAAAAGTATTACATAAACAATGACAAATAGTGTGTCACTCTTTCTTGCAAGTTTCACTATTTGTGTAATTATATTTATCTATTTCATTTATATATTTAATATTCTGTTATTACAACATCCAATGCATACCGATATTGATGAAATAATTTTACTTCCAATATAATAATAATGGCTAGGGAACATTATCTTTTAAACCCAGTGCTCCGTGTCGTTTATATCTTTTGCGTTTAACTTCATTCAACTTAGGTAAAAAAACCTGGCTATCTCCGCTCATACTTACACACGACGCAAATTTCACTCAGCAAGCCATTCTTTATTTTATTGCATGTAACAATATTTAAAAAAGCATTTGTTTATATTATGAAAAAAAAAGTTTTACAAAGTTATTCCACTTTCTCAAGCTTGCAAACTGTATCACGAAAAACTTTCTGAAAAGTTAATGGGTAGATAGGAAAAAGTAAACAGCCATAAAATTACTATCGATCGAGGATTTATTAGCATGGAGATAAGGAAAGCATCGCTACACCATTAAAAACGTGTTTCATCCAACTAGTTCATCCATAAACAAATGTTTCAATATTTTTTTTTCAAATGTTTATCAATAAAAACCAAACAAAACCCACGTTGATATGATAAATTCAAAACAATTAAGAAAAATAAAATGTTTTTATCGTACACTTTTTAAAACTTATTACAAATAAAATGATGCCACGAAATATTATGAACTAAAAACTCCTATTGAACTCAATAAAATCTAATATTAACATAATTTATTCACAAATTTACAATACATTTGTGGGGCTGAACCTATTTCATTTGTTAGTCACATGAACTGAACATCACTCTTTAGAGGATTTACGTAACATACAAACTGACAGTAACATGTCAAAAGTTTATCACAAATACCGATATACTAAATTCAATACTTGGATGAAGCGGAATAACAATAGAATTAAAACGCATTTTTCCTATAAAATGTATGAAAAGTTAGTTAAACATTCCAAGTTCAGGTTGTGGGAAGCTTCATTTGTCTTAGGATAGTCTCCAACTGGATTGAACGATTATCGATATTACATACAAACTTGTAAAATCTACTCGAAGATTTTGTAACCAGAACCTAAATTTGGTAAGAAATAAACTGAGCGTCTTGAACATAGTAACCCAAAGTTTAATACAAAGACAAGAGTATTATATATTACTGAAAATTTTAAATGCTACTGTGAAAAAATTATTTTTCCAAACAATAAAAATTACTTTATTCTCAAGGATTAATTTTTTAAACTATAAAATTTTAAAATTAGAAATTTCATTCATTCGGTTCCCATTATAGGATTTAATAGCTCTCATGATCAGAGGCAGAAGAGTAATTCAATTCTTAATGTCCGAAAAATGCCTCTCTCTATCAGCGTTAAATTTAACATCAACCATGAAACAATTATGTTACCTTTTATTGTCATTAAAAAAACTTTATTCCTCAGAACTAAAATTTAAATACCTAACTGCAACAAAACAATAAACCTGTAAAAGTATCATTTTGAAAATAACATCAGGTAGCATACAAATGAAATGGTATATAATACACAATACAAGCACGTAACTAATTGATGACTCCAAATGTCAATTACTTTTATCGATTACATCTTTTTACGTCAAGACTTTTCGATAGATCTGGTTAACATTTCATGAAGTTGGTTTATATAAGTGAAAAATATTTTAAATAAGCTTACATGAATAAATAAAAGACCAAAGAGTTAAATAAATAAACGCACAGTGAATTTTCACGTTCGCTAAAATATGCTGAAGATAATAATGAACATAAATTATTAAATATATAATTTTTCAAATGAATTCATAAAATATAAAATAAATATTCATCGCTCAAAAATACACAACACAATAAATTAGTTTTGTTTCAATAAAACATGAAATTAAATCAGGTCTTGAGTGTCAAAACGTTCCATTTTCAAAAACAATCAAAACAAACATATTCATGTGATCAGATGAAACAAGGATTTTATTTGTTATAAAAATTGAAAATACAAAATATATAAAATCAGCTACCAAAAAAATTAAAGTCGAAATTCGTGTTTACTTTTCCCAACACAAAATCAATTAAGAAACAACAATATCACATTTAAGCACATTTAAAACTCATTTTTTTTTATTTTGTGTTGCACAATTCATCAAACTCACCTGTTGATCATTTCTTTTTAGCACCTACATATTATTAGTTAAGCACGTAAAATAAACAAATGCAAAAAGCGGTCATACGTGTAATCAAACGAGTATAACTAAAATGTTAAACACACACACACCACACCACACACACACACCACACCACACACACACACCACACCACACCACACACACACTTACACACACATGCACGAACACACACACCACACACACACAGATATATATATATATATATATATATATATATATATATATATATATATATATATATATATTTATATTTATATATATATATATATATATATTTTAATATATTTTAATATATGTATTGATACATAAATCAGTTTTATAAATATACATATATCAATTTAAAAACACAGTATGTAATTGTACGCGCTAATCATATCACACCTGACGTTCGTAATAATTTCAAACAAATTGATTAATCGACCTTTCATTTATGACATTTAAGTATATTAAAACAATTCTACACGTTATTGTGTTTCATGGAATGTCCGACATAAAATATGGAACACAATCACACCCACGAATACTATAATCGATAAAATTGTTTTTTCTTTAATTTAGATTGAATTCAATTATTTTTTCAATCATCTTGTTAGAGTTAAACAAATTGAAATAATGTAGTGACAAATTATCCATTTTTATTCAGTAGAAATTTACATATATACAATGTTTACAAGCAGGCAAAGTTATTATAAATACTTATGTAAATATGTGCTTATTTAAACTAACGATACAAATGATCAAAAAAAAGTTAAACCAAGTAGAAAAATAGTTTTTAATAATTTTCAAGATACATGTTTAAATAATAGTCTTTCTCATTCTGGATCATCATCTGTCGTTCATTTTTACAGAACAAGTCACAAATGTCTGCTTACATTTTGGTTGCCATTCTTCAGAGCAACTTATGCCAGACGGCCAGCTGCTTGCGTGGACACTCCATGACGTCATTCCAATGTTTGACCGCCACGTCCGACACGACGTCAGGACCAATTTGTACGACACCTATGACTTCATTCTTTGACACTCGATCCCAATCCAGAACGATGAACTTAAGCATGACTGATGAACTGAGAGTTGAGTAGTCAAACTTGGATCCAGGGCTATTACTCTTTGTGTCCCTGTCCTTTTGTTGTTGTTGTCGCAGATGATGCGATGGGAGGTTGAAGTGGAAAGTCTCGTTGAAAACAGGATTCAGGGTTCGTTTTTTTACCTGGGTTTTCTTCTTGTCAATTCGCTGACCGTCACACATCAAGTAAATTTTCACGTACGGATCTTAGGTTTTTGAAATTATTGCAGTTATTTATATATATTATTTTGAAAATAAATTGAAATTTGTTTAAAAAAATATCAAAAATTTTGTATGTGTCAAAAATTTGATGTTAATAATGAAATATTAACGTCAAATGTTAGTTTTTAGCTTATAGTTCATGGTTTCCATACATGCTTTGTGAACAGTTTTTAGTTTTCTGTTGAATATCATATAAAGCTGTAAAAAAAAGCCATCTCATTTTCGACAGGTAGCACCAAATTTTTCTATTTATGAAGTTCATAAACAAGAAATACAATCTACATTTTAAAAATAAACTCTATAATAATGCCCATCCGTTAATTGCGGAAACAAAATATTGTGAAAAATATTTTGGTCAAAACAAGTTTGCTTTCATCCCACACGTGGTCATGCGAGAAAATTGAATTAGGTGAGTAATGAGATTATATACTACACGTAGTTTTTCTAGGAAAGCAAGCAAAACCAGTTATCACGACCAAAATTAAATTTAATTACGTTTTATAAAAACCAAGAAAATAGCTAGCAAAGTTATTTTCATCATCTGTTCATTCACACAAGATTAAATCATTTTAAAAATGAGGTGACTATCATATCATATCAATTTTATCTTATCTTTTTTTGTCATTATCATCGTCATTTTTATGAACGATTCTACTATCGCAACGTTTTCTGAATTGTAATGAATAATTTTTTCTAATTTAGGAGGTTTTAGGAAAGAGTATTCAAGCAAGAAACTTATTTAAAAATTAATATAACTTGAAATATTTAATTTAAAATAACTCAAGTTTAACAGCTTTTTTGAAAATTCAAAAAAATCTAATTTGTTAATAAAATAAAAAAAATTGTAAAAAATATAAAATTTTAAATTAACCAGCCAGCCCAGCAATGTCCATACGTGGGAAGTTCTTTCCTTTCAAAACGATGACCGTGAGTTTATCAGTGGACGAATCAAAATTCAACGAGATGAAGAGTTCTCCCTGCTTTTGCGCCGGCTGGTTTTGGATAAAATTAATTTTCATTTTAGCTTTGGAAATGCATTTACAAAAAAGAAATAGTAAATTAATTATCTCCGAAAAACCATTTGTACTTTATTATTTAAACGTTGTGAACAAATAAACGAACAAATAACTTATTAAAAATTTTTGAGCACACATCATAGAAACAATGAAAATTATTCGAATCTTACTTCCGATCCAGAGCGAATAGTTTTACAAATGGTGACTGCCTGCCTATCTCGTTTCACCAGCTTTGGGGTCATAGCCAGAATGACGTGTCCCATGCACGTATCTTTCGAGAATCTGTCATGCGTCATGACAGTGAACTTGATGATCATCTGCTGTAGTTTCTGAGAACTGATGCCGTAGAAAGTAAATGTTTCTTCAAATATTGGATTTTTAGTTCTGCGTACGACGCGAGTTTTGGCTTTCTGCTTGCCTTCTGGTAGCAAAACAACACGGACGTACGGATCAAATAATTGTTGCAGCTGTTGTTGTTGTGGCTGCTGATTGGCTGATGTTATCGATGTAACCGACTCTCTGCTGCCTCCACTTGATGTCGAATCTTTGCTCAGCTGGTCGGTATTAGACGAACCATCACTCGCTGGCAAGCGAAGGTCGGATATTTTCATGACGACGACAGTCAGTGATTCCCTGTGCATGTCGTGTTCCAAACTGAACATCAACTTGCCAACGCAACTATCACCGTTCTCATTTTTACTTTCTTTTTCTTGACTTGATGGGCTGCCAGCATCATTCTCGTACTCTTCCTCTTCTTCGTTTATCAAACTTTGATCTCCAACTTTTTTAAATCGTTTTTCTGACATTTCACTTTTGTAACAATCTGCTTGAACTTGCCCTTTTTTGAGTTTTATGTTTTGAGTAAATTATTTATTATAAAAAGGTAATATTTTTAATTAATGGTAATATTTTATTAAAAAAAAATTCAAAAATATTTGAATTAAAATCATTCAGCACAATGAATATCTACATTATTATAACCTCACCCAGTTCTACTCCGCCACTTTCAACACTGAGACAGCTGGGTCTTCGTTCAGGGATGGTGATGTCTTGAGGTAAGCAGCTCTGAACAATGACTGGGGGTATGGAGGATCTGTGGGAAGATGATCCACTTGAGATCAGGGACGTTCTGCTGTGCACTGTCGAGCTTCTTTTTAAACATGACGTTTCGCTGTTGTCGTCATTATCCAGGTGCTGATCGCTGAATTGGTCGCTCAAATTAAATTTTCTGTTGGTGTCTGGTTTATAACGCGTGAAATAAGATTTTTGAATTATAACCTACAAGTTTACTATGCTTATTTTATTAAATACACTAAAAATATTCATTTTACTTAAATTAGTAAGTCTTGTTCAACAATTTAAAAACGATACAGCGAACCTCGGCAGAAAAATGTATCCAAGACTTTCTGAATATTTTTACTTCCTCCTCCATTTCCATCTGAACTTGTAAGAGGGAGGTGATCCCTACTTCTGCGTTCACGAATCCAGTGGATCAGTCGCCAAGTCAGTAAGAACACGACGATTCCAACCAACATGCATGATGTCACCGCTATGCCCACCGTGTAGTACTCCTCTGAAAAACAAACAAAAACATTGCTAATTTCATTTCGTATTGAAGGAGCTGAAATTTTGTTATTGTTCTTCTTGAATATTCTATGGCAAAGTTGTAAAAATAATGAAATAATCGCCATTAAATTTGAAAAATTGCTTCCAGTATTGGAAGCATGCTTAAAACCCATTAAGCAGAGGCTTTTGTGTAATATCGCCACACATTAAAGTGAGTTGTCTTCACGAAAGTTTCATTCATTAATTTATATTTATGTTAAATGGAAACGTTTTGTAATATATTTTGCTTTTTAAGTATAATTATTAATTATTCGTTAAACACAAATGTGATTTTGTGAACGAATCTCAATATTTGTCCGAATAATTTATTTAAGATTTTTTGTTGTTGGTTTTCCCAGTTAGTTTGAAATTTTTCATCAAACATTTGTGTTTCCATTTCTAGAAAAGACTAGGCAGAAACTTTCCATGTTAGAGAAGTCATACGAATCTTATTTTTATGGCATTTCCACGCTTTAAAATAAAAAACTGAAAAGTTGATGATAGCATTTGTCGATTAATTTATAACATCATTCGGTCAAATGTGTATAAATTATTGTTTTTTAATTTCGTTTTTTAAAATTTATATTATTTTGTTATCAATCATTTTACATTTCTTTATAAATTTACATCAAAAAAATGCTGTTTTAAAGATTCATTAATATTTTATATGAAATATTAAAACCTAAACAAAAAACAAGTTAACTGATAAACACAAATAAAACAATATATCAGAAATTTATTAAATTAATAAGAGTAAATTTTTGGGGTAAGAGTGTTAGTTTTATACTTTGTACAGTCTTCAAGACGTTTAAAACTACAATTAACAACATGAAAAATCTAATGCAAACGGTAATGAAACATTTGTTTTTTTCAAAAAATGGTGCCACTCACCTGGAAACGAAATTGTTGGATCCATAATTAAAAACAAACCTTTGCACAAACAGTCAATTCAGACATGTTAAACAAGAAAAAATGATTATTCCTGGTCTCAAACCTAATTAGAGAAGACAGTTTTCTAGAAGAAAAAAAAACACTTACAAACCGAGCAGCGTTATAAATACAAGCTAACCTCAACAACAAACTATCTCTCCATATGTTCCAACAATTGCACATCAATACGTCTACCTTTCCATTGGCGAGCTATCGATGCAGCTTGCTTATGCGCTGGCTCCGCCAAAATCAGCTGCTCTCAAATGCATGTTTCGACGAGGCTGCTGGCGCGTACGCAAGTATGTTGGTCTGTGCGTATACGTGTTTGCGCGAGCGTGTACATGTATGTTTCTGCGCTTATATATATATATATATATATATATATATATGTTTGTATGTGCGTGTGTGTTTTATGTGTGTTAACAAGTATATTTGTATATGGATTTCATTATATCAACGTTGGTATTTTTCAATGTTGCCAGTTTCTATATGTATATGCATGCGTGCATTTGCACACCCAAGATTTGAAACACAAATATATTAAAGAGGAGAAAAATAGTTCAACAGAGTAAATAATGATGCTTGATTCATTTTTTTCAACTTTATAACGAAACAACAAAAAAACTCAATTTCGTAACAATACGACATAATGGAACGATAAACATTGTAACGAGACGACGTAACATCGAAACTAATCGGCACAAAGTCACAACGAAACGACATGACTTCATGACTTGCAGACATGCGAATCAAGCTGGAATAGAGATTAGGTGAAAATTATCTAATTTTCAAGTGCTTTTTCTATTTCCACAACCCATGCATACACTCATATTCACCCACACAAGCCCACATAGAGCTAGCATATGTTAAACATATACATATAATGTATATATATATATATATATATATATATATACCATACATATAAATGCAAGATAAAAAAATGTTTTGGTATGCCTGTGTGTGAGTGGATTTGCGTGCGTATTTGAATACACTGATAATTGAGAATAGAGACTGATCAAATATTGGTGTATATATGTTGGAAAGCACTTTACAAATCTCACGTACATGCACTAACACGCAGGGGAACAATACAACACACACCACCATAGCAACATAGCAGCTTAGATTAAGTGCTCCAGTGTCTCGAGCGTTGATCCCATCGCAATAAAACTCTGACCGGTTTAACTTGGATCCGATTCTAGATTTGTTAATTTTTGTTTTTCTATGCTTATACTCTCCAACAAAAGTGATTGTAATTCAAAGAAGTGTTGATGTTTCAAGTAATTTTACATAGATCTGCTGTTTTATGAATTTCGTTTTTATAATAACAAATTTTTAAAAACCATAATCTTTAAAAGATTAAAATCTGTTAGTACAATTTAAATACTTGAGAACAAACCAAAAATGAAAAAACAACAATTGTTCCGGACAAAACATTCGATTGAATTGAAACCACAGTCAACTTGAATGCACTGATAGAGTTAACAATGCTAAGAAATGGGAATCATTAATTCTTCGGCGTACATACTTACCAGTAAGACAGAGAGAACGTAAGATAAGTCCTTAACTAAAAGACGTTTATCTGTGTAATTTGTTTAATAAAATTACCAACCTGATTATTGTTGTATTTAGTTTTCAAAAGTTTACAAAAACACCAGTCATGAGAACTATATTATTTATTAACTACAATAACCAAATTTTTAAAAGTCTTTTGGAAATTGAAATAAAAACATTTCTGTCTAATTCACATCTGAATGTTAAAATGATAAAATCTAAAACAATGTTTATGATTATAGAAATTTCATTACTAATGTGTTAATAACTGCGTTATTGGTGGAATTTGGAAGAAATAACATAAAAAGAGTATGAAAGACCAAGTAGTGGTGAATTGTTTTAAAAGATCAATGTAATTTTACGTAAACAAAAAATTACTATCTAATGTTCGTGAAATTTTAATTCAGCATCAGCGGAGAGTGCAAACTTTGGTAAGAGAACTTAATAAAATCGATAATGAAAATTCGTATTATCTTTGGACCAAGAACATCAACATAGTTAACATGATTAATAAAAAGAAATTACAGTATAACAATAAAAATTATTTATAGATTAAACAACCCGCTGGTTTCAGCTGCAAGTCATGTTAGTGTCAATCTCTAGAATGATTTTATGAAATCATTATTTCAACGGTTATTTTTATTCACATTGGAGACATTTTTAAAATTAAAAGTAACTATTTTTATTATTAAAAGCAATAAATATAGTTGTTTGTTTATAAAACAAAATAAATGAAATATAAATTTAACATAAAAATGAACATAGTTAATATTAATTTGAATAACGCGATTATTTTTGAAAAGAAATTGCATTTATTCGATGAATCGATGTATTTTTTGACTCACCCAATTGCAACCATTTATGATTATACATTTTTTACACCATCATCATCATCACCAACAACCACAGTAACAACAACATCAACATCATTAACAACAGCATTGAAAGCAACAACAAATTTAACAACAATTACACCAACGCATACTACTGCAAATGATTTGATTTTGTTGAAAGAAAATTTTTTTGAAAATTCGCCTAACATAAAGTTTCTGGACCTAGAAACAGGTTAGAAAATGTGTAAGAAAATCAGTTTTGTCAATCCTCATTTTCAACTCTGCCAATTACATCATCATTAACATCACCACGATTGTAAAATCTTTAGTTATAGCTACTGATGTAGCAGAATCATCATTAGTAATTACATTTTAATGTTGTTCATTTATTCACTTTCATCTAAAGTTTTTTTTTGTTTTATTTGGTTAACAATGCATGTTTTTATGTTTTAAACGTTACATTTTTTTATGATTATATGAGTGATTGTTTGAAATGCACTTTAAAGGCACCAGTAAAATCCAAGAACTCGTTTGTTTCCTGTTAGGTTGAAATATTTTTTTTTTAAATTTCCAAAAATAGCATAAGTTTAGATATTCAGAAAAATTAACATAAAAATAACTGGAAACAAATATTTAAAAAAATAAAAAGCAAACAAAATTTGTAAATGTCTAATTCAAAAGCATGATGTAGCATTCTGTCGCTACTCTTTATGGAGGTTTTTGTGGAAGTCAAAAAGCACACATCACGTGTTAGTTTAAACAATTAGAAAAGCACAGGCGCTAACTGATATCACTCACCAACATTCCTACTGTTTTAAATATAACCATAAAACAGTTGATGTCAAAAGCGAAACATCAAAACATTTTACTGTCGACGCAAACAGCAGCAGCAACAGCAGCAGCATGAGCAGCAACAACAAAAACAACAATGTTCGTGATAGTGATGACAAGATGCTGAAACTTTCAAATAATTACGACATCAGGAAATACACCTTCGACGAATTTCCACTCATCAACAATGATGACAACGATGACTTCAACGATATTGTTGCTGATAATATTGCTGATAATAATGACCTCGATCTTCCAAATGTTCAACCTGTTCAACAACAACATAATAATGACATTAACCAAAATAACAACTGCAACAACAACAACATCTGCAACAACATGAACAGCACGTGTAGCAACGTAGGTTCTGCAATGAGATGCATTATTTTTAACGCATTTTGCGGTATATTTCTTCTACTTAGCGTTGCGATAGCCAATGTATACGGTTAGAGATTTATTTAAAACCCCATATTAATTGTTTTAATAACACGACATTAAAATAAAATATTTTGTAGCAATAATTTGTAAATTTGAATTCCCCAGAACGTTTATCGGGGAGAAGAGTGAACAAGGCAAGGTTGGCTGGCAAGTTGTGCTCCGTTTCGTCTTCGGTAATCTTCGTTACGGCAATGACCTTAACCATTGTTCTTGTGAAACTAAAAAATGAAAACACCAACCCTTCCATTAACATCCCCAATCCTCAAGCGTTTGGTTACAGACCATAAATATTTTTTAACGCTGACAAATTTTTTAAAGTTACGTTTTAGGTTGTTTTAAATATCGTTACCTGATTCGCTAGATACCAACTGCATGTGTTTATTAAGTTATTTTTCATCATAGCTTTATTGTTAATTGTTTATTTTGTTTTTTTCAAATTAATTAATAATTATATCTGCATTTTGTTAAAAAAATTTCTACTATTATCAAATAAGAAGCGATAATATTTAGAATCCGTGATTCAGATATACTAAACGGAAATAAGTTTTTTTTTAATTATGATACCATTCAAAAAAAACTAAATCTGAAGATATTTCATGTTTCTACTAGAGTTTTTTTTCTTACACCGAATATTCCGCTTTATAATTCATTTGTTATCATTTGGAATCACTCAAAAATATTTTATTATCAAATAATAACTTTAAAATAGCAATATAATAAATGTAAATTATTATATCCAAAAAAACGAAAGATATGTGCTGATTAATTTAACAGGTTACATGTGTTTGACGGGGAATTTTTTTTAAAACTGCTTGAGCTCTATCAAAAGTTCAGCTGTGGATCTGGAGAACGAGGGGGCATGGCATCTTTGCTCAAGCCCTGAAATCATTACTGGACTAGTTAAATAATTTCTTATATTGTTCCATGTTGTATTTTATTATTTATGACAAAAACGATTAGTTTTAAAATATGTAATCTTAATAGCAACTTCATAGAAATGATTAACTATTTTGATCAACTAATTAATGTTTCTATTATACTCCACTGAATGGGCTGAGGAGGTGTGAGAACAGCTTCTGAATTTTCAGTCGATAGAAGTCAGAGTTATTCAGATTTTAATTGAATAAAGGGATGATTTTGTTAAATTTGAAATATAATGTTTTCGTGTAAGCAGATGAAATCTGATGGTTCTGAATTTTAAGAGTCTAGAAATTTAAAATATGATAACGTTTGAAGTGTAAGCTGCAACAAAAATAATTCGGCTGCTCATTTATAATGAATGTTTGAAGTTTTTGGTTTGATTTAGCCAAAATTATTCCAGATCATAAGGCAAATTAGCAACAATATTAAGTTGTTGCGATATTTTATTTTATATAAATTATATAATTGACAGTTTTGCTTAAAATAAGAAATTCATTATTTGGGCATGAACTTGACGGAGATGTCAAACAATTATCGAAATTAAAATAAACTACTTTAAGAACCCATTTTAAAATGAATGTGTTTTTCATCATATCAGTCTTTCACTTGAAAACTATTTTCCAATCATGCGCATGGTATGTGAAAACTCAAAAGGACGTTTAACTTCATTGCAGTGTAATAAAAGCACTAATGAGTCTCAAATGTTGGTGTGCACTTCAGAGGATTCACGTGCACGAGCATTTCTGAGTGTGCGAGTGTGGTGGAAACATTTGTTCAATGTTCCTAATTCAAGAAGATGTTGAAACTGTTGTCGATTGTGACGCCAATGATGATTGTAAAGCTTTGGCCTGATGCTGAACGTAAGAAGAAATTTTTGAAAATATTTTTATTAGATAGATTTTCACACTTAAACATTGAGTAAATTTAAACAAATTTTTTAAATAATTTATGATTAATTAATAGTTTATCAAAAGAAGGAATATTGAATTAAAGGCATGCATTTAACACAAATCAGTTCAGTTCACACCACGTATTTTTTTATAAACTCTGAACGACCAGCTGTTGCGTGATGAAATATTTTCTTCAGCTGTTGCATGACTTGTACGAACTTTTTATGATCGGACAGCTCCGTGATTATAAGCTTGTCACGTTCAAGTCTGGTTTCATTTAGTCTTTACAAGGTTAAAGTGTTTCCGTTTTTAATGATTCAATTATTAAAAACAATGACAATTTTTTGTATATTTTATCAAATTTTCATTTATATTTAATCTGTTTTTGAAACATTTTTGCATTGTTCATGAAATACTTATTGCATGGGAAGTACACAAAAACGTAAAAGTTAAAAACAGTTAAAAGTCACTTTGACTTTACTTCGGTTTAGAGGAATGAACAACAAACAAACAGCATATAAGAATACGTAATTTACAGCGCATAACACAAGAAGCATGTGATAGGTCGTGAACACTAAATTAAATAAATAAGAGACTTCAATAATTGTTTATATGTGTGTGTTTGTCTGTACGAGTGCGTGTGTGTGTGTTTGTATGTGTATGTGTATAAGTGTACGCGCGTGTGTGTGTGTTTTTATGTGCGTTTTTGAGATTGGGTGAATGGTTTAATTTTTGTCAGCCGCAAATGAAATTATGAGAATTCGGTAAGAAGACTGAATAAAGGAAGAAATTGCATTCTTCTGACTGAACGTGGTTGTTGTCATGACGACGAAGACGACGACGACGATGACGATGACGATAATGATGATGGTCATGACTAAAACAATGTTAAAACATGGTAAATTTTTGTGAAACATATTCCTGCTAGTAGTATTAAGTGCATGATGTTGACAATGATGTATCGTAGTACTGGCTTCATGTCCAATGTAACAAATATTGAATAGCTCCAGCATTGGAATGATTGAATGGTTAACTAGTGGGTAGCTAATTGATTTTGATGTTGAATGATTGAACAGTTAACTGTCTGATGAATTTAAAGTTCTTCGGTTGCATATGATTGATCATTTACAAGCCTAATTGAACTTTTATGTAGGTATTGATGAAAAGCCGCGATGTAGGGGTCGACCAATGAAATAAAATGAATCATTTGAAATTTAATAATATTTTATTATCTATTCAGTATAGAATTGTTGAATTTTTATATAAAATTCTATAAAAATTTATTTCAACTAACGAATTTGGCAAACAATAGAATTCAAATTTATATTTTGTTTATTTTAAATTTGCTCGTTCAAACCATCTAAAACCAATTTAGGTTTTAAATTGTATCAATGCGAATATTTTAAATATATCATGCATTTTATTATGTTAAATTTTTCATCTTTGGTTGCAAACAATGTTTTGGAAAATTTACATTTTTTAACTTTCACAGTCCAAAAACTTCGTCATCCATTTTTGATGTCACCTTGAATAATTTATGGCCGATCTCAAATAACAAAATGTACTAAAAATAATTACTGAAAATTCAACACTACAAACATTTTTTTCAAGCAAAAAATAGTATATACAAAATTACTTTTGAAGTTTTATAAACCTCAAGCACCTAACAATGCCATATAATTAAAAAAGGCAACATATTAACAATTGTTAATGTCTATTCTCACGGCAATTGAACATATGCCACCCCCTAAGAAATTGGCATAAAAATATTTTCTCTTCTAAAGATTGAAACTCAAAAAATTTGAAAACGAAGCAAATAAACAAGTGAACGTGTATGTACGACTGTGACATAAGCATGTGCCATGTTGTACATTGCTGAACCAATTTTGAGAACATCCAAGAGATTTAAACTGCCGTAACAAAAACAACTTTTTATATATTTTTTCAATTTCGTCATTTATATTACTTTTTCGTCAATTTCCAATTTTAATGACATTTAAATAATTGGCATGAGAGTAAAATTTAAATCGAAGAAAACATTTGTTAAACAAAAAATGTTATTTTTCGAAAATTTTTAGCGTTCTTTTCTCTAACTTGTAATTTGATCATTGAAAAAACTTGATAGAAGAAAACACGTGAGTGTATGCTGACGCATGACATTCAATATAACATTTTTTAGTCAGATTTTTTCAGAACAAAATGTCGTTCCTTCTTTATTTCTTTATTTTATTTTTTTTTTCATAATAAAAATTAAAAATACAGACTGTATTACGTAAATTTAAATTATATTTTTCTGATGTTTCAATATATACAAAAAAGACATCAGAAATTTAAATTTTCGTTAAATTTTTGTTTTTCAATTAAAATTTTATTTAATTGAAAAATTTTTTTTTTTCAATAATTTCAAAAGTACGTCTTTTAGTTTTTCAGTAAGTGTATTATTTCCGATTTGCTGTTTGTTTTCTAATTTTTTTGTTGAAAACATTATGACAAACAAAATTTAATTTAATTAGACAACATGGTGTCAAAGCACTCAAAGATCAAACGGTGAAATAACGCATCATTCATTAAAAAGGGAATTGTAAATTTGTTAAACAAATATTTTTGCCGGTCCATATTGTTTTTGTTTCCATTTTTGAACATTTATTCATAAAATTTGTCACAATAAATTAGTGTCATGAAATGAAATGACGTATGCTTTTCTACAAAGCTGATTTATAAATAGAAAAACAACAGATACATGCATGTGTGCATTGTGCAAAGATGGATATTTCTACGTGTTAATGAAACTAATTTACGTTCATACTACAAACTTAACAAGTAAAGTTTGAAATCGGAAGTTTGAAAGCACTGCTTACATAAAATGCGCCATATCTTCCTATTCATCTTGAATGATCTCTTCTAATGTTTATTTTATATGGTACATCAATATTTTGTAAACATAAAAATAAAATTCATACTTCAGATAATGATACATGCGTAAATGTTCCTATTCGGAGAACTGTAATTGCGTTTTATGCCCGTTAAATTAATAATAAAATAAATAAGCATGTTATATGAGTTTTGTCGCATTTCATCATAGATTTAATGCTAGTGGGTGTTGTCTGTGTTGCCTGTGTGTATGCACTTGTGTATAAGGAATGTGCGTGCGTGTGTTTAACAGAGTTTACAGCTATGAACCTTTATTAAGCCAAATAATTATTTTGCTTTCATCTGGAAGTTATGAATTAAAGACAATTTTAGCATCAGATAAAAGCAAACTGCACCCACACCTGATGACTGAAACCAAACAGAGCAGTCAACACAAAAGAAGATAAAAAATTGGAAACAACTAAAAAATGGTCGCCTATAGATAGATGGGAGCAAGATAAGGTCTCGGGAGTAAACAAAACACATCATTGCCTTTCTACGCCCAACTTCATCCAATGTATCTGTGAGTAAGTGGATGTAAACAACGCCAAACAATCTATTTTACTTTTCTTTGCAATTTTTTAGTAGTAATTGAACTATAGTACTTGAAGCTGACGCTGACCTGTATGAACCGTGTGTTTTTTTATAACCGCCCTACAATTAATATCTATCCGCCGGTTGATAGTACCCTGTAAAAAACATGATGAATGTGTGACGTCACTGTAGCTATTGCTTTTAGTAAAGTTTTTGATGGGAAGATTAAAATTTCGTTCTAAATTTTTGCGAGTTTGTAATTCAAATCCAGTTACAAAGCAAAACTTGCTTGTCGAAGTCGATTCTCTTTTCAACTGCAAATCTGGAAGAAGGCGTGTTTTAAATAAATATAATATTAATCTATATAGTGTTCTCAAATATTTAACTTTTCTTTTTGAATGATATAATTAGACTGAGAATCCAAAGTCCTCAAAGTATTATTAATTATTAGCATTAACGTTTATTAATTAAAATTTTATTATTTATAACAATTGAACTTTTTTTTTGTTATAAATTCTTATAAAAGTCAAATAACCAGACAATCATCAAAACAATCAGATGTGAAAAACTACCAGTTAGATTTCGTCAGCGTAAACTTGTCTAGAAACAAAAATTTCTAACTCACAAA